AAAATGCCGATTGACTACAGTGTTACCGTAGGCCATTGTTGTCATAATATGACAACAATGGTTGCTGTCAAAAGAAGCCCACCGAGTAGTTAGAAGCGAACAAACATAAACCAATGTTTGAAAAGGTGTATTGCATACATGAGGTGCTTTACCGTCAATGCATAAATTGAGGTGTTAGCTTCATTTTTTATGTTTGTAAATGTCAATAACCAGTATTAAAAGTAATAACATAAATAATCCACAAATGTTGAAGGCCCCAAATTCCTCTTTGCGTCTACCACTTGAAGAACAGGTGAATGTATTCAACACTTTGAATCACTTCGTGAACCTTCAGACGCGGTGCTAAATTTTTGCTTGTGTTGCCAAGATTATATTTAAAAATACTAATCCTACATTCGGTGTCTTTCTTACAAAAAATCCACAGCACATACTTATACAACAACAAAGCATTACCCCACTAGGTGGGGTCGGAACACAAACATAGCCAAAAACTCGAATCTTATTGCTTCATTTGTATCGATTGTTGCCTCTGTGTGTGTGTGTGTATTGTACAAATTTTTTTATTATCAATTAATAAAAATTACATTACATAACAATATGAATACGATTTCATTCTATATTCTATAGATTTTTATGTAATTGAAAAATAAAGACTTGTGATCCATTTGGTACACGGAATTGATGGAATTGAAATTGGATGGAATTGAATTCTCTAATATATATATATATATATATATATATATATATATATATATATATATATATATATATATAATATATATATATATATATAATATATATATATATATATATATATATATATATATATAATTTGCTGGGGCTTATAACTACAAAAGGAAAGCAGAACTCGTAGACATGGACGAAGAAGATCTGCTAAGAAAAACTTTTGAGTGGAGGAGATGATGATGAAGCAGCTAGCAACCGTTACTCCAGGCTGCAGTAAGAAGAAGACAACAGGGAGAAAAGAAAGGGTATGCGGCAGGTCTAGTCCAGTTTTGCAAAGTCCATTAACTATATTAACCCCTAATTTCAAAAAAACTGAATGTGTGAGACGTAGGCCTCAGAACAGCATCAAAATGTACGCCTTGAGGCTACATTTCCACCATGATAGGTGTTCGAGCAAACATAGTGCAAGGCAGAATCTTCTCAGATCTGAAATTTTGAAAAAACCCAGAAGGCACGCCGCAATGAATGTTTCCGCCTTGCCTTTTCAAACATTGACATGACCCCAACTACAACAGTCTAAATTAAATAAATATACCAAACAAAGAAGCACAAACTTGGATGTGATTAAGCAAATGTGTGGGGAGAGTGCAAGTGTGACTGCAAAATTAAACCAAGATCTATTTCATTGCAATCTACAGTTTTGTCGAAACAAGAAAATGACTTGTGAGCAAATCTTGAAGATTCCAATACCATAGAATTAATGAGTTCCAGCAAGAACATTTTGCCAGAAGAAAGGGCAGCACTTCCATCTTTGTTTTCTCCGGTCATTCCTTCCATACATGCAAGATCTGCCAGTCTATAGAACAAAACAGCAACAGATACGCGTGCATACAATTCTGTGTTGATAAACTCCTGGTATAAATAAAAGATAATATATGCTGAACAGAGACATGTAAAAGAAATTTTTAAGAATTGTGTTGAGTACTGAGCATCCAGTAACAGTGAGTAGTTTATACGTTAAATAATACTCCAGTCCATAAATAAAATAATTTGCCTTGCTATACTTTAATTAAGTTCCTTGTTATTTTGAAATTTCCAACAAATGAAATTGAAATAAAAACAATTATGCATCTAAGAGTGTGATATCAAAATATACCTACTTAATTAATTTGCCAGGCTATGTAACATTTACTTGCCTAAATCTGTATCTTTTCTAGACAACTATATCCCTTAATTATGCTGATGTGTCGACTGTTCTGTTTTACTTTTTCGTTGTAGATATGAATCATATGAAAGACTATATGACACTACAACAACAAACCCAGTAAAATCTCACGAGAAGTAGGGGTCTAGGGAGGGTGTGTGTGAGCAGGCATTACCCCTACTCGGAGGTAGAGAGGCAAAAAATATATCACACTGCCACATATAAATATTTGCATTTTTCATGCTACATAGCATATAGGGTCCCATCTCCTACACAATTTGGAGGGGTATATTTCACTTCCATAGCTATTTGTGAAGAGGTAGAATACAAGCCTGGGCATCAATCTACACTACGGGATCTATATATGACTGTTTAAAAAGTATTGGCAAAATAGTGGATTGATACAGTAAATAAAGTTTCAGTAAAACCAAAGGCATATATTTTCTCTCTAAGAAGCCAACTTCTTCTATACAGCTTCCTAAGCGTCCTATTTCTCTCCTATAATTGTGGAATCCGATTTGGTCTCTTTAGGAAATTAGGTGAACCTCTCCCAAAGTTACATACCCTAGCTTGATCGGCTACAGCCCATTAGAGTATGCCTCACAACCCTGGTGGGTCGACCCGCCAATCGGCTTATGGAAAACTTACGGGTCAGGGCTCCATCTACTTAGGTTACAACCTGGATAAATAAATTCAGCTAATCAAATGGATATATATCTCTCGGCCCAATATACCAATTATTACACATTGGTTGGTCCCTGGAATTTGTGTGTTTCATGTGAATAACTGAATACCGATGTGTTAAATGTTACCAATGTGTTAAATGTTAATTCAATTGAATGAATGGTGAACAGTTTGAAACAAAGAAATAGATAAAGATAAATATAGTTTCTGCTCATTTCTGAGGTGTGCGTCTTTGTTGCTAGGGATGGAAATTCAAAAGGCAATAGATACAAGAAAATATATCAACATACTTCAGTCAGCTCAGGGTCCGGACTTTTAGCCAGCACAGCTATTTCACTTTTTGCATCTTGATTTTCAGACAATTCAGCTTCAAAATCCTCATCAAATGCAACTAAAACAAGATGAATTGAAACTTAGAATAAGTAAGGACCCGTTTGGTGAGTTTTAGAGGGTTGATATGGTATGTGTTTTGAAATCTAAAAGAAATGACATGGATCTTGAAATCTAAAATGAACGTGTTTGGAGAGATCTGAAGTGATGGTTGCTAGTGACAGGTGAAAGTGGCCTACGGTGGCAGCAACGGTGGGTTGCCGGCAGCGGTGGCTGGCAGTTTAGGGAGATAGCAAAACCCAACATTGATATCTCCCAAATTCAGGAGATATCAAAACACCCCCATTTGGGAGGGTTGTGATGTCGGAAGATATCGAATCCGAACCCTATTTAGGATTCACCAAACACTTACAAAAGGGTTCTGATATCGGGAGATTTCAGAACCCATATCTCTACAGCTCACCAAAGTGAATAAACGGGCCCTAAGAGGTATTTAACACGGTCACCAAGTATTTAGCTCTTTATTAATAAAACACTTAAATATTGAAATTTTGCCAAAACTATTCCAAGACAAATAGAAAACTATTCCACGCCATACCAGAACCATATAGAGTTAACAGCTTTAACTCTCTTATGTAGTACTTTATGATATTAGGGTTTGCGAGCCAGAGACCAGTTAAATGCAATGCAGCTAAGCGAATAGTGCGTGGACTTTTAGTGCCTTCTTCGAGAATTTTCTGTACAAACTGCAAGAAAGGTAATGAATAGGGGTCATGTTCTAATGATGTAGCCTGTAGCTCATAAAATAGAGTAACTTATCAAGAAGGAATCATTAAGGCCCAAGAGCCCTCCCTAAGAGGGGGGGAATTTAGATATGGATAGCAACCAACCCATTTCAAAGGCCCATGAGCACTATCCACCTCATGCATGTCATTATCACTAAATACTGCATAGTGCAATACAGAAGAAAGAAGTGCAGCAACTGCAGCAACTCTACGCTTATTGCAGCTCACATGTAAGATCCATGAAGAGTGCACCAACCTCCACATCATCTGCATTGACACTGCAATTTATTAAAAAATCCAAAGCATTGGCTAATCTATATTCATCCAAGCTATAGAAATTATACTAATTGCTATCATGTTTTACTTTTCTTGCATTGTGCTTGTTAATTTTCCAGGATTTATAGGACTAGTGGGTTTCCGTAGTAAGTCATCATTGTTTGCTAAATAGCAGAAGCAAAAGCTTAAGCAGGAAATGTTAATACTACAACGTAATGTGATATCTCATACATTAGGTTTTAGGGGAAGGTCTACACATACTATATAGAAACAATACTGACTCTGCTTAAGTGTGCATGGGGCTAAGCTAGGGTTTCTAGTTTCTACTTCTAGACCTCATATCCCTTGTTATCAAAGAATACTCTCTTCCTGTTAAATATTTAGATGTTACAGCTAGGCAGGTGACAAGAGCTACCACTTTCCACGGCAGTGAAAGTTAGAGAGGGAAGACCCAGGAGGAGAGAAATAAGGGAAAATACTATACGATGAAATGATATTACACTGGTACACATTTGATAACTGAATCAGTGAATATATAATGAAGGAACGGTCCGGTTCCAGTGACACCGGAAAACGGTGCCACTCTGGTGCCACTGGGTTTTTGGGGCACCTCCGGTGCTCCGTTCGTAAAATTGACGGTTCCTACCCCCCCTAACCCACCCCCTAAACCCCCCACCCTACCCCCACCCCTGCACCCCCACCCCAACCCCGCCGTAACCCCCCCCACATAATAGCCACACATTTTGTGGGGGGGTTACGGCGGGGTTGGGGTGGGGGTGCAGGGGTGGGGGTAGGGTGGGGGGTTTAGGGGGTGGGTTAGGGGGGTAGGAACCGTCAATTTTACGAACGGAGCACCGGAGGTGCCCCAAAAACCCAGTGGCACCGCTAGTGGCACCGTTTTCCGGTGTCACTGGAACCGGGCCGATGAAGGAAAACAAATAAAAATTGAGAGCTGTGTGTGAGAGACAACCTGTAAGAGTATTTGTTGAGATGTGTGGTAGGTTGATGTATAAGTATAATGATAAACTTTAACCTTTCCTAATCCTATGAATATATATACTCCGTGTATGTGTGTGTGTGTGTGTGTGTGTGTGTGTATAATGTGTGTGTGTGTGTGTATACATATAAGGACACAAAAGGAATATGAACTTCAAACAATTATATTCTTTAAACGTTGTATTAACTACTTGGTTCCTGGGAAATTAAAAAAAAAATAGATGAATGCGGAAAAATATGTTTATTTACTTTTTCTAAACCCAGAAAAATGTATATAAAGGGATCCTCCTTATGAAACTTATGCATAGAGCCATAGACACTTTAAAATGACAGACTTGGCACCACCTTGAAATGTGTGACTTCAAGCCTCAGGAAAATTTTGAGTATAGAGCATACTGACCTCAGTATTTATCCCAGCACAAGAAGAACCCATTAACCCCCGATGTCCCCAATCAAACAGCTCCAATAGCAATCTGGCTGATCTTAGCATTGGCAGAACAGAGACTTCACCAGCATTCTCAAGGCTGCAAATTCACTCAAGTGTAAAACAAATCAATTCTCTAATCTTCATTAGCAGTAAGCTACTGTTTTAAGACAAGAGGATGATGAGATTAAAAAAGACAGCACACTTGCTGTTGCCCTTGTCCGATAACTTCAAACTTGCACATACTATTTAGGGGGTTAGACTACTCAAAACTAGTAAGGATCAGATTATAATGAATTGATTACAAATCCATTAAACCATTTATGATCTGCTAAAAAGTTAATGAAAAGATCCTAACCACACTTCATCCATGTACTATGACACATTCATTCCCCACGTAAAGATTTTTTTATGGATGGATATCCAATCCATCCATTTTGAACTGCTGTCTTATGTAGAGATTATTTAGCAGTGCATTTAATGATCCTTCAACAACCACCACATAAATCAACAAGTATTGTGTTGAAACTACAACTTGTGTGATAGATCTAGATTATTTTCAAATGGGATTCAACGAATTAAAAAAACAGATACATCACTAAGCAATATGACATAAAAGGATAGGTTGGAACCAATTTATTATAATTAACTAACTCTCCCTTTTATGCTTGAAGTAGGGCTGAAGCAAATGTTCTTAAATACCTTGCATAAACTAACATGGGCCTGTTGAGAATTGAACTCAGAACCTCTAGGTCAACAAGGCTTTAATAATATGTCAAGGAACCAACTCAGCTAAAAGCTTAAAGTTTTATACAATGATAACAGCGATGACAAACTAAGTGTCATCCCAACTCTGTTAAGGTCTAATGGTCAAGACGTACGCAACCTTACCCATGTAAACACAAGAAAGGATCTGTATTCTCACCCAAAAAAAAAGATGGATGATGATTTTATTTTTGGATGGACTAGAACGATGGTGTACTACATCACTTTTGCCACCCCTAGATGGAGCTAATATTTCAAATCCTAGTTTGAGCTAAATATTCAAATCATGTACTGCACAAATAGGCAAATTGGGAGAATGAGGCAAGGCATGAGCCACAACTTCTAAAACAAAGTTGTTTTTAAAAAATCAATAATAATATATTCATTGCAATTCATAAAACTTCAGAATAAAACCGGACAAAAAACAAATGATGCAACACACACACACACACAAATAGTACATAGTGCAGCAGCAAGCATGAAGACAAAATAAATATTAGCACAGCAGTCTAGAGTCAGAAATCAAAGCATAGTTAATAAACAGGGCTTTTTTTAAATGTGGCTGTCAAAATCTGACACAAATGTGACCAAAATATAGTATAACACTAAAGCTTAAACTGAGCCTCATTGCTAAATGCCTCAGTAGCATAAATTGTGAGCCTCGAAATTGCTTGAATTGGGTTCTTCCCCATTCCTATGCTCTTCCGAAAATCAGCCTCAGAGTGTAGCCTCAATTTGCATTTAAGAACAATAATTTCATGCTTTCAGCAAGAATAAAAGTCACTCTTTGTCAGTGTTTATGCACATGAATTATGCATGTGCATATGCATGGCATTTAGGCATACATATATTAAAAACACAATATTCCAAGAAAAAAACATTAACAATTTTCTACAGCTAATTTCAGGATATAACAGATTCATCAATCCCTTACTTGTCCACAAGATCATTGAAAGCCCATCTTAGCATGTCAGTGGATAAGAAGAACATTTTGTTTCCCAGGCAAACTCCATTTTGTAAAGCAAATTTAGGAATGGACAGCAAAGCTTCAAGGCATATCCACTGAAATGATTAGAAGAAGTCACTCAGCAAGGTAAATACTATGAATTATACTTACATACAACAGCTTTAACTTTTTGAAGATGATCTACTCAACCACAGAAAAATGAACATTTAAGAATGATAATGCCCGATATAAAAAATGCATCATTTCTACACAGTTAAAAAATACTGAAATAAGGCTGAATATCAGATGTGACAAGCCTTCACCAATCCCAAGAATCACTAGAGCACCTACATCTCCAGAGCAGTAACAGCCAACTACAATTCACACATGATTTCCTTTCCAAGACCATAGAATGAGGAAGATTATGATCTTCCTATAATCATATGCAAGGATCTAGGTTCATGTCCATCCAAACATTGTTCACTTAAAATGTCGAACAAGTACATGATCACTCCATGCTTATCTATTCGCCATTACATGCACATCAAATAAGTATATGATCACTTAAATATACTTTCTCCATCCCAAAATTAACTTAACACTTTCCTTTTTGTTTGTCCAAAAATAAACTGATCATTCCTTTTAAGGACAATTTTTTTCTTCTACATAACTTCCAACCACACAATTTCACTTTTTCTAAAACTCTGTGAAAAAGTATATGGGAAGTTTATTTTAGGATAGAGGGAGTATATTTCATTGCAAATATTCCAAGTTAAGACAAGATAAATCAGTAATCACCTTCCAATGCAACAAAACAGCTCGCCTTGTGCGGACTAACATTCCACAACAAACTAAACCATTTATGTGCGGAAGAAAAGTACTAATAAAAGAATCCAAATTCAGTTTGTCATGTGCTTCTGATTGAGAGAAACCATCATTAAATTTTAAAGGATCCAATGATACATGAGCAAATATGGATGTCATTTCTTTCAAAGCACTGCCCACTGCTTCATAGGCTGCTAGAGAGATCTCTGCTTCAATCTACCATATAAAATTCGGTCAGTCAACAAAAATAGATTAGTTGACAAAAGGACAGCCAAATAAATGTACTTTCTCCATTCTTAATTGAATGTCAACATAGGGAAGAAAATTTCTTTTCACATAAAAGTGTTTCTTTCTAATGTCAGGAAAGTAGTAATTGCTCATTTTGCATAAACTCCCTGTTTCTTCTTTAAATCTTCCATATCTTATAAATCTTTAGACTCTGTTCTATTGGGTTGGAATTTCAGAGTTAAATGTTGGAAGAAACTGGAAGAAGTTGGAAGAAACTGGAAGGAGTTGGAAGAAACTAGGAGTTGGAAAATGTTGGAAGAATTTAATTAAAAAATCGGGTAAATTTCACCCATGGTATACGAACTTTCATCATTATTTCACTTTGGTATATAAACTTTAATTTCTATCGAAAAAGTACACGAACTTTCAACATTCTTTTCACCGGTGGTCCAATAGCCGGTTTCCAAGTCACCTTCAGGTCATTTAGGGCCAAATTATAATTTTATAAATTTAAATTTTATGATTTTGACCCCTTTTCTTTTTTTCTCTTGATTATCCATCCTTTTCTTCATACCCCTACCCTCCCCCTCCTCTTCCATCCCCACCCCCACCATTTTTTTATTCTTCCTTCTCTTCTACCGTTGGATGGTTGCTCCGCTCCATTCACGGCTCTGGAATTCGCCGGAGATAAGGCCGGAGGAATGACAATCCTGTCATCCTGCAACGGGCTTCTCTGCTCCTGCTCCACCAACTCCGGCAGCTACTATGCTTACAATCCCACTACCCGGAGCTACGCCGGAATTCTGAAACCCCCCTTCTCGGAAAAACAGGGGAGGAACAGAGACAACGCCGTCACCCTAGCATTTGATCCCGCAGTTTCGCCGCATTTCACGGTTGTTCTCGTTGTCCTCTCCGACGATTCCTAGCCCGGTCCGTTTCACGTCAAGGTCTGCTCATCGGAGACCGGAAAATGGAAAAATTACAGCGCCCATTACCTAAGGACCTCAATTACAAGATGGTGGGAGTGTACTGGAACAGCACCGTCAATTGGCCCGCCACCCATGGCCGGAAGGGTTATACTTTAGCACCAAGAAGGAGAGTTAAGGGGAATTTCCGATGCCGCCACTGCCCGCCCAGAAAAGGGTCTGGTATATGCAGGAATCCTCTGGCCATTTGCACCTCATCGACGTCCATGGTCCCCGGACGGAGCAATTTGAGATCTACGAGATGGAGAGGGACTACTCCGGCTGGGTTGTGAAGTTCTGGGTGGACATTGAAAGCGTGATGAAAGCATTCCAGAGTCGATCAACAAGAATTTGAGAGAGTCCGACCCCTTTTATTACATGTTCCTGACGACCGCGGTTGTCCACGGCGGCAGAGTAGGGGGTGATGCGGCCGCGAAGGAGGATTCGTTCCTGGTGCTGAGTGTTCGGGGCGGGTGGGGTGCGGGTGGGGCTGGAAGAGAAGGGGGAGGGTGGGGTATGAAGAAAAGGGTGGATAATCAAGAAAAAAAAGAAAAGGGGTCAAAATTATAAAATTAAAATATATAAAATTATAATTTGACCCCAAATGACCTGAAGGTAACTTGAAAACCGGCTATTGGACCACCGGTTAAAGAATGTTGAAAGTTTGTGTACTTTTTGATAGAAATTAAAGTTTATATACCAAAGTGAAATAATGATGAAAGTTCGTATACCATGGGTGAAATTTACCCTTAAAAAATCAGTGATCATCCAAAAGAATATGTAATAAAACTTTAATTTTGGGTAAAAAAGAATTCATCATTGTTCGTGTTTGAGGTGATATGTTATAAATTTGGATATATGTTGTTATTTAATATTAATCATATATAAATACCTTTTTAAGTCGGTGTTGAAAGAAATTGAAAGGAGTTGGAAGGAACTAGAAGGAGTTGGATGAAACTGGAAGGAGTTGGAAGAAGTTGGAAGTTAATTTTTCCAACCCAAAAGAACAGAGCCTTAATGTGTTAAGGAGTAAACCAGTCATTTTATAAAATAATTTCTTGATTTAATTAAACATTACTGCTTCCTAATTATGTGTGTGAAGGTTTAAAATGACAATTATTTGAGAATAGAGAGCAATGCATTGCAAATAAAAAAAACATAGAAAAACTGTGCATCTACTTCATCCAGAGTTAGAAGTACCTCTGAGTTAAAAGATGAGAATGTAATAACCTCCCAGCAGACATTCCAGAGGAAGGTTACAGCAAATTCAACTGAAGCATCTTTTTTGAATTGAATGCACCACCTTGAGATAGATGCTATAGATTTTATGGCTGTAATCTGTTAATTCAAGATTATAAATAATTTTTAAAACAAACGATCAACTTCTAGCCTGGAAGAGTGAATCTTTTTAAAAAGTATTGAAAGAGAATAACATTTTCAATCAATATCTCGCAGCATGAGTGCTACCTGTTCCATTCATCAGACATAAACATAACATGTTACTGCTTCCAATTCAGGGCATGCTGAGAGAGAATTCAAAAGACAATGGATTGAGTGTATATAAAACAAATCTTACAGCTAGCAATACAGGTCTGGCGATAGAAGATGGCATCCGACGCTGGCTTGGACCCCCCAGCCTTCCTTTTATAGAACCAGGCAGATCTCCGACTTCTATTACATTTCTGGAGTAAAAAATGTTACATGATAACCTGGCAAATGAGACCAGGGAATCCTGCATGTGGATAACTTTTTACCTTAGAGAATTAAACTTTCCTTTGTAAGCTTCACTACATAGGAATATCAAAACACGACAGATGGAAGAGAGTTTAGGCACGATATTCTTCATACCAGTAACGTACAAAATGATCTCGCAAATCTCTCAAAAATATGAGAATCCTTTTTCATAGGAATTTCAACTGCTTTTTCATGTGAGTCAACTGCTTTTAATATTATGCTCGCAAAGCTATGGTCTGCTCTATCTTGGATTAGTTGCAGTTCGTAAACCAAACTCAAAATAAGGATGAGAAACTTTACAGGTATCCACTCCAAAAAAGTTTTCTGCTCACAGAGATCAGCGCCATATCCTTGAATAAACTGCACAAAATGTTTTCCCTGGTGTTAGGAAGCACATGGGAAAGATGGCAGGCACAAACAAGCAGTGTTGCAAAGCTCACTAGTTGGCGGGTGGCGAGTGCTCCAGTGATGCCTAGCATATCTCTACGGAACTGAACAGGTGCACAGTCCACAACCCAGTGTGCCTAATCAAGTGTCTAACCCGCCTGGCCACCTAAAAGTGGACCGGGATAGACACCTAGCGGCTGGGCCGTTTTTTAGAATAGTTCAAACGAGAGAGCTAGAAATATGTTCACTAAAGCTGTATCTAACTTAAAACTATTCAGAGCAGTACCCCCGGCAGAGGTAAGTGGAATACACTAAAGCCCTATGTTGCACGGAAACTCCATATTGGCTGCCGTATCCGTTTCGGACACCTTGGACACGCCGACACGCCACGGACACGGCAGGAGACGTCTCGGAAACTCTACGTGGCATTTCTGTAATTCTAATTTAAAAAAAGGAAAAAAAACGCCTAAGACACGGCTGGGAGACGCGTGTCTCTTTTGGGAAACAGCATGGACACCTCTTTTTAAAAAAATGGGGTTCTTTTTATAAATTTTAAAAGTTATGGAACTTACTCAAATTATAGAAAGTATTATGTGGCCCTAAATGTCATATATATATATATATATATATATATATATATATATATATATATATATATTTACTTATTTATTTATTTATAAAATTTATATATATAAATTTCGCGTTTCCCCGGCGTTTCGTCTCTTCATTTTTTCAAAATAGCCGTTTCGGCGTGACCGTTTCGTCTCCGTCCCCGTCTCCGTTTCAGTGCTACATAGCTTAGTAAAGCCTAGAGGGATTGCTACAGAACAAATGCCACTACCAATGTCTCACAACTTAATTTCATCTTCCTAAAAACCTCTTTAACAGTGGTCTGAAATATTAAGTTAAGTAACACGTTTTTTTCTCAAGTAGGAAACAATGGGAATATTTTGCATACTGTTAGGAATTCAATAGATAAAAAGAAAGTTCTAAAGAAACCAAAAGGTGCAAACCATTAATATGGAATCCAAGTCTTTTTCCTCCTTGATTACGAGAAAAAGTGCCCTTGCCCATCTTTTTGCTTCATATTCCCAAATGTCCAGGTCTTCATCATCATATGTGACAAAACTATGTAACATATTACTACAGCTTATAAACCTTGATGGGAAACCACATAATAACTGCAAAAGTTGATCTGTGTTGTCACAATTTGAAGTGAGACGCATCCTGCAACTCTGTAGCCACGTCTTCACTTTTAATCTTAATGAACCTACAAGAATGTGAACAAGCAAAGAGCCCATTAGTGTTCCACTTTGAATTTTTTCTTCTTTTTTTTGCAAGGAGAGGGTGGAAAAGCTAAGGTTATTGTGCATACCATGGTAAATGTGTATCATTAGAAATAAGTGAAGGCAGTGAAGCTCTTATTGAGGAAAAAATCCTTCATCATGATTGCATGACTAGCAAAAGCTTAAACCCCACACACTTGAAGTCACATGTTATCAAAATATTACATGTGCATATTTAACCCATCAAAACCGTAGTACAAAGGGGCAATGTGTTGAAAATTTAAAATTGGCAAATGTGTTTTAGAAGACTAATTGGTACATGTTGAACCACTATCCTCATCAATATCCTAAATCTTTTAATTAATGTGAAATGCATGTGTACATAAAAAGAAGACTAACACCAATAAATCTACAAGTGCAAAGACGTGTTTAAGACTAGACTTGAATAATGGAAGAAGTGGCTGAAATGTTTGCATACCTCCATTATCTGTCAATTCCCGTGGCAAGCTTGAAATGAAAAGCAGTAAGGTTTCAAGAGGCACATCATTTGGAGACATCACCGACAAAGCAGCATCAAGAATTTCCTTGCAAACTGCACAGAGAGGACAGTCATGATAGATATTCAAAATGTAAACACAGAGAAGCAGCTTATGTGAAACCTTGATGCCGGTAAGTGGGATTGAAATGTTGTCTACTGCTTTCAACAAAAAATCTGCACAAATCCAGAAATACAGCTTTGTCTGTAGAAATATCTTGTGCAGATCTGTGCATGACGCCATTTTCTTGAACATTTCCAGAATTGCTGTGTTTTTTAACTCCACAAGAAGCAGAAGTTATACACTTCACAAGGCACATTAGCCCAGCTCGTCCAAAAGAGTGTGTTTTAGCAACAGATGCCAAACTCCTAAGGAACGCTACCCTGCATGAGACAAAATAAAGTTCATTATCCAGAGATGAAAAAACTCTCACTTCCATTATTAGCTTAGAAACAAAAATATTGACACGAATGCTTACAGTATATATAGGAGCTAGATTTTAACTATCACTAGCATCATTGACATTTATTTACTGAAGAAAGCTAGAATCTCTTTTCTTCGAGCAATTCAAATACAAATATTCACAGACCCTATTCATGGGATTTACGGGATTGTTATTGTTTGAGTAATTCAAATATTACATAGGCTTATATACAAAGCAGCAAAAACTGAATACTTAGAAAATGGACCTACACAGTTCAAAAAAACTAACTAGGAGCTGAGAAAAACACAGATATTCTGCGGAGTAATATTTTCCAAAAATAAGAACTGTACATTTTGCAAATAAGTTTCTGACATTTAGTTTTTTACACCCCCCCCCCTAGAGATGGACTGTAATCATTGTATAGGTAAAACATACCTAGCTAATAATGTGATATGCTATCCTTACTGTAATTATGACTAGACTTTTATTAATAAGATAACAAAAACATATAAAAGGAGGTAATCTACTGGCTTATCTCATCGGAAAGAGACTGGCTCTTAGCCAGAGGTGGTCGCCTAGAGGTCACCCAGAAGAGATCGATTCAACGCCAGTCGCCTTAGGTTATAAGATGCTATGTTGAGGTGGAGAGACAAGATGTACGGTACAGAACATGTTTGTTTCCATTAGTTTCTTGATGCATTTACTTCCCAAAACTTCAATGAAAATAAATAGCAAGGGAAGTTTAGTTTTTCTAACTTAAGGACTACCTAGCTAATAATGTGATATGCTATCCTTACTGTAATTATGACTAACCTAAGGACTATACCTATTTGGCTTCTTTGTAACTCTAGTAGACCTCCTAACCCACTAACCAGTCAGATTGTTGTGGGGATTGCTCATCTTCAGACTTTGAACTCCCACTGTCAGAGGCCCCTGACTCATCATCTCCACCGACTTCAAACTCTGAAACTGTGTCGACAATTGTTTTAGTTTCTTGTTTGAAAACTGGTTCATGAACCGGCTTAGCTCCCTGCTTTTATGCTCCTGTTTCAAACTCAACCTACTGTTTCTGAACCTTAGAGTTTGATTCCTTTCTGTCTTTGTACAATTCAGCCTCATTGAACGTCGCATGCTTACTTCGGACTACCTCTTTGCTTTCAATGTCCCAAAGCCGGTAGCCCATCTTGTCTGACCCATAGCCAATAAGGGTGTACTTTTTGGCCTTTGCATCTAGCTTATCACCATCTTGATCCAAATCATAAGCACTGCACCCGAAAACCTTTAGGTTCTTAAAATCAACAACTTTACCCTTCCATTCTTCTTGAGGTACTTATAAACCCAGCGGAACTAAAAGTGATCGGTTGATTAGGTAAGTCGCAGTGTTAATTGCGTCTGCCCAAAACATCTTCAGGCATTCATTCTCATGCTTCTGGCTCTCTCGTTTAAAGTTCTATTCATCCTTTCTGCGGCTCCATTTTATTGAGAAGTGCGTGGAACAGTCTTTATCATCTGAATGCCTCGTTCAGCACAATAGTTCATGAACTCTGTGCTAATGTACTCCCCTCCGTTGTCCAATTTCAAGCATTTCACTTTCAAACCATTTTCAAGTTCAACGGAAGTTTTCCATTTCTTAAAAACATCAAATACTTTGAATTTACTTTTAAGAAAATAAATCTAGACCTTGCGCGTGGCATTATCTATGAAGGTCATATAGAATATCAAGCCTTCCAGGGATTCAACTCGCGTTGGACCAAAAACATCTGAATGAATAAGCTCTAAATTTTGAGCTTTAGGTACTCTCCCCATCTTCGCAAAAGATACCCTCTATGTCTTTCCATAAACACAAGGTTCAACAGAATTTAGATTCAACTTTCTTAAGGTCTGGAAGGTTTCCTTTGGCGACAAGCATTTTCATCCCCTTTTCACTCATATGGTCGAGTCGTTGATGACTTATCTTGGATAGACTCAGCCCGCTGGTTACTGCATTTGCATCTCCTGCAGTTGTCTCAGCCATGTACAAAGTACCCCATTTCTTTCCCTTAGCAATTACCATACTTCCCTTGACAACCTTCCATTGTCCACCCCCGAAGTGAACATTATACCCCTGGTCGTCCAATTGCCCAAAAATCAACATCTTTCTCAATTTCGGAATTACCCTTACATCTTTCAATGTCCAAATTGTTCCAAAGTTGGTTTTCAAGTCAATGTCTCCCACCCTAGTAATATCCTGCATTTGATTATTAGCAAGACTTACAGTACAAAAGTTGCCTTGTCTGAGATTCTTCATCTTTCTCAAACTAGAGATAGCATGAAACGACGCACCTGAGTCCACAACAGATTAAGACATCGTCAGAATCTGAGGCTGTGGCAGCATTCACCTCTTTCTTGTCTCTAGGTGGTTTGGTGCACTGACCTGTACTCATCACAGTTCCAACACTTGATGTCGCTTCTTGTCTTTGAACTCCCTCCCTTACCTTTGGACTTGGATCTTCCCCTGTAACTGTTTCTCCTCTCTTTCTTTCTACCTCCTACCTCAGTGCTCAGCAAAGAATTGGAAGATTCACCTGTACTCTTTCTCATTATGTTTTCTCCTAAGATAAAATCACGGATTCCCTCAAACGTGCGTGTGGTGTTTCCAGCTGAATCACTAATAGCCGTGACTGATCCTCACCAACTATCCGGTAACAAAGATAGCTGAAGCAAAGCTTGTACCTCATCATCAAATTTGATATCAACTGATAGCAAGCGGATGTATTGAAAACATTGATATGAGTAGTAACTGAACCACCTTCCCGCATACGAGTGTTAACGAACTGCCTAATCAAGAATCTCTCATTAGACGCGGAAGGTTTCTCATACATGTTTGACGACGTTGTCATAACCCCAAGAATCTCTCATTAGACGCGCACCTGATGAAGGCTAGCACTTTTCTATCCAAGTCAGCCCATTATTCATTTTTCATCTTCTCGGGTTTCAGACATGTCAAACATGGAAAAAGATCTTTCTAACATAGCAAGTCCTCGCCTTGCATCTTCCACCATCCAAAATCTTGCCCATCAAACTTCTATCCTGATCTTTCCGTCCTCAGACATCATCTCTTTTGAGTACCCAAAACCTGACCAGAGAACAAATTGAAACAAACAACCAGAACTGACCTCGAAAATTGCAGCAGCAAACTGAACAACAAGGCTGTTCGGACTTTGAACAGATGACTGTCTTGGTGGTCTTCTAATGTGTCGGCAGAAACCCTAAAGTCGCTAGGGTTGGCAGTGGAGGCTGATTTGTGTGTTTGACCTAGGCTCCGATACCATTTGTTAGGAACAAAGGCACACACACTCGAATAGAAAGCAAGAAAGCAATAAAGAACACAAGAGATTTAACGTGGTCCAATGGATAACCAAAAATCCGATTACCGTCCGCATCCATATTCGTTTAAAGAGGAATAATCAGCATTCATTTTAAATGGATATTATCTGTATCCGTTTAAAGACATCCGATTACTAAAAGGATACGGATTTGGTAATTGTATATCCAATCCGTTTAAAATCCGATCCGAATATACATCCGTTTAGATAACCGTTTATTCGAATATCCGTTTATATGAATACCAAATTAATTTTTTTAATATTTATAATAATTTATCCAGCCCATTATACATTGACACTTGGCTCATTACTTCCACAAAGTACTTGGTCGATTATGAATTTGTGTTTTTGTTCGAATCATTTTTTTGGTTAAGTATTTATTATTTATACAGTACTTTTTTACGTATTTGATGTTGTTCAATATTGTGGATTTCAACATTCACTTTCTCACTTTCAATTACCTATAGCTTGGTACAAATATTCATATTTATGTTTATATAAAAAAATTGTCAAGTTTTTTCGAGTACTTTAAAACATAATAAAATATAATCACATAAAATAAGCATGCCTATAATTATAAATAATACGAGGTTTATTTTAAAAAATACAAAACATTACATTTAGATGTAGATTTATGTGTGTGTGTGTGTGTGTATTAGAAGTTTAGGCACAACATGTATTAAGAAATAAATATATATTATATACTACTTACAGATACTAAACAATTGATTTAGCCTAGATGGCTACAATTTTGAATTTGAAGGTCACAGGTCTTGGGTTCAAATCCCCCTGCCTTATCTTACATTTTTGTTTTCAGGTTTGAACACATTGATATTCGGTCGGATTCGGGTACTTGACCGGTTTCAGATATTTAATCAGATTCGGATATATCCGAAATCGAAAATTATCCATCGGTTACGGATTCGGATATAGATATGTAAATATCAGTTGGATACGGATACGGATTCGGATATTCCAAAACTTAATCGGATTCGGATATGCCATATCCGTGGCAAATACTATCCGTTTACAGCCCTAGCATGAATGAAACTTCATAGAAAGTAAGAAGCAGGGAAACTTTAAGGTGCCATTTTGGTCTAGTCCAAAATCTTCATCAAGCTAACACATTGTCAAAAATGTTTTTTAGATCCAAGCCTCATGTGAAGATTTTGTCAAGTTGCAATAACATTATCATTTTCTAGATTTGTTTTGCAAAGAATGGCATACATGAAACTTGAGCCAGCTTCTCCTATTCCAAAAATTAAAAGAAAGTATCATGTCTTCTTCAAAAAAGATATCATAGAAGACAAAGAAAATTAAAGGGGATGTGAAGATTTTTGGGACAAGCTATTAAAAGGTTATCCGGTAAATGAGGATAAAATAAGTTAATTTTCAAATGGAGAGAAAATGTAAAGGGATAAAAAGGAGGATGCAAAGAAGAAAAGAAAAAAGTTGAGGGGATGGACGGGGAGAGAAGAGGGGAGGGATGGGAAGAGAAAGATAAGGAAAGAAGTTTTGAACATTTTAGAAGTTCAGTTGTGTCAATTAAAACTTAGCGAAATTTGGTAGAGTGGAGTAGAAATCAGAGTTCAACATTGTTTAAGTAAAGTAGAGAAAAGGGATAGTGAAGTAAAGTCGATGCTTTTAAAACCCCATCTGGCTCCTAGTCCCCTGTCTAGGGGCTAGACCTCTCTAAACCGCCTATGATTTATTTCTGTCTAAGAGTGCCTAGACCCCGAGCCTCTGATAAATCTGCATCCAAACACACTATGCCCCAGTTTGCCGCATAGGAAACGCCTATTTAAGTTCAGGTCATCAAGTTTCTAATTTTATTTTGAAATGTTTTGTTATCAAGCTTGACGCATCTGATGCTTCAACTTGAGAGGGAGTGTTAAACAGTTAAAGTATAATATTGTACGGAGTATTATAGTAAGACAAACTCAGGGGTAAGGTTTAAAACACATGGGGTCTAGCACATTGGACTTAGGGCAAGTTATTTTTCATTCTATGGAGTGTGCACATGGTTATATTAATGGAACAAGAACAACTTTAGGGCATTCTTAATAAGGAAAATGAACCTTTTGTTATCACAACACCATAGTTTACCTTTGATCCAGAAAGCTCGCATATACAGATAAAAACTTGGTTGCAGCTTCAATTGCACTTGTAGAATAAACACCTTTTAGACCTGAAAGTTCAGATGCATTTTGTGAAGAAAACGAGAAGAATAGAAAATGTAAAGCATAACTTTCCTTCTGGAAGACACTAAACCAGAAGAACTAAAATATTCATAGCTCAAATAACACAATAAACTGCAGAAATTAGAGTAAAATGAAAGAATAAGACATTTTGCATGGAGAGTGTCTCACTGTCCCATGCAGCATGCTCTGCATTCTTGGCAACAGCCAACACCAAATAGGTATCACTTTTAAGCAAGGACAACTCCAAGAAAAGGGCAAAAGGGAACTTTGGTGCCAAAGCATCCCCGTTGAGCAAGGGTCCGAGGAAAGGTCTCACCATAAAGTGTGTTGGAGGGAAAATTTACCTTGCATTTTTGCAAGAGGCTACTACTTTCATGACTCAAACCCCTAACCTCAAGGGTACACAGCAATACCTCAATCTCAAAGCAACAAATGTAATAACACAATCCACAATCCAACGCGGGCATTTAAATTTACCAATATACCCACAATCAATAAAAGGAGAATTTGGCTGTTAGAACTTTAAAGGTCAAGAAGACAAACCAAAATCCTTGTGGTGCACAGGGTCATTCAACCCTTCCATAAGGGGCCCAAAGATGAAATTCTGGGGAATTAGATCTGCACAACGCTCGTATTCTCTCCACTCAATACCAAGAAAAGACTGCATGATTAGGCACCTTACTGAAACACAAATAAAAACAGTTAGTTCTTTCAAAAACAGAGAAGTTGACATTCAAACACCACACCAAGTAACATTCGAACATGGCCAACATTCTAAATCCAAAGGTCCCTGTACCATGAGGGTTATCATGACAAAAGCCCCGCTCCCACAGTAAAATCAGCCAGCCAAAGATTTCCTCTAAAGTGTCCATACACATTCGGTGGGACTTGCTGTTCAATACACTCTCTGCAGATGGAGAAGAATGCAACAGAAAAGTCATCTGTAGGGAAATGAAAAGGTCAACGTACATGTGTTAAGTAGTATACTAGTATATGAAGTTATATACCAATTCTGCGTTCAGTGAGGCAAACAGATTGAGAATTTAATAAGAATCAATAGCACAAGAGTACATATATGACCATAACATGTCTTGTATTTCTTACAATAAGTAGTACAAGTTCTTCAAATCTAGACTAATCATAAGGCAAAATACATTAAGTGACTGCTCATTTGGGTTGAAAAAGTTAACTTCCAACTATTTCCAACTCCTAGTTTCTTCCAACCCCTTCCAGTTTCTTCCAACTTTTTCCAAATTACTCCAACGACTAAAAAAAGTATTTACCATAGGTATCACGGTGTCGCCTAGGCGTCCTGGTGCCCTTCTTCTCACGCCATGGGAGCTCGCCTCGCCTTATTTTGCATGCCTCGCGTAGGTGTCGCCTTGGCTTGCCTAGGCGTCACCTTGGCCTCGCCTTGGCTTGCCTAGGCATCGCCTTAGCCTCACCTTGGCTTGCCTAGTCCAGTGCTTTATTTTTTTTATTTTTTTACTATAGTGCTTTATTTTTTAAGTGTTTTACACCCCGACTCCAGTGCTTTATTTTTTAATGCTTAATAAATTCGTTTACTTCCAATTTAATGTTTTTTATACTTTATCTTCCTAATTAATACTTGATGCTTATTTTTTTTAATTTTATAAGATTACTACGTAATATATTTTGAATTTAAGTCAGTTACGCTTTTATTCAACTTCGGTTTTTTTTTGAGGAAAGTACCTAAAAGTAACTTTGGTAGTTAAACTTTGATGTATTAGAAAAATTTAAACTTTACCAACTACAATATATATTTTGATATATTTATATTAGTAATGTATAGCAATTCTCTTATATTATGTGTCGCCTAAGCGGTCGCCTAGGCGACCGCCTAGTCGACTAGGCGTCTTGGTGGTACCCCTGCGCCGCGCCTCGACATGGCGCCGTGAAAACTATAGCATTTACATACGATGAATATACAATAACATCATATATCCAAATTTATAACATACCATCTCAAACACAGACAAAGTTGAATTCTTTTTTATCCAAAATTAGTTTTCTTAGATATTTATTTGGGTGATTATTTAACTGAATGATTTTTTTTATACTTTATTTTTTCCAACATTTTCCAACTTCTAGTTTTTAGCAACTCCTTCCAGTTTCTTCCAACATCCAACACTGTTTTACAATCGAAACGAATGTAGCCTAAATAAATAACCTTACAATTCATCAAACTAACCATTGAGTTGTTTATAGTAAATCCCAAAAAGTACCCCTTCAACTACAGTATAATATTCTCTATATAAAAAGATACCAATGCATGCAGGTCATGTTTATAAGTCCAAACCTGGTGGTTCCATGCTGCTTCAACCAAGTGTGTACCATACTCTTCAAGCATTTCATACAAAAGAAAGAATGCATCCCATTTCAGTGTAGTGCTAGAAGAGGCAACAGTAGAATTACATATATAACCAATCCCAAGGGATTTGGCTTCATCCTCAGCCCACCGCTCTCTCTTTGTCATTCCACTAGGTGCAGAGCTCCTTCCTTCTAGGGTATTGACACTAGAGTGAAATTGGTTTTCCCGGCTTAAATTTATTGTTCTTTGAAGAGTATGTAGTGATTGCTTCCTCACTAAAGTATCCTTATTGACCTAAAAAGAAAAAGAATTGATATCATCACCAATACCACCTTAACCCCACACCCCAGCTATTCTGGGGTTGGTGACATGTAATTTATAATGTCGACTAATAAAATCATGCAATAGAACAGTGGAAATGTTTTTCACCAAATGCAATTTGTGTCGCGAACCTTCTAAGGAAGAAATAATGACATAAAATTCAAAAACTGGCATCGCCATAGGTTTCAACCATGTGCATGGAAAACGTCAAGGAAAATGAGATAATATGCCACATCATTATTTTCCATGAGCAAATTACATCATAAATTAATAGAACATGTAGTTATTACCAAGCCCTTTTTAATTTCATCCCAGAATTCTGGCTGATCTCTCAAATCAAACACTGTTTCATTGTTATTGAAGTGTGAATCTTCTTTCTTATGAGTAACAAAGGAAGAGAAATACAAAGAAAGTGTTGCATACGCATCCCTTCTCTCCAATGGACCCAAAGAGAACAGATCCTTGCAGTTCTTCCATATGTCACCTAGAATACGGTTCCTGGAAAACTACCAATAGTCATTTATTGGATAGAAGAGCAGTTCCCAGCATGAAAAGGCACTATATTGTGAAGAATACGTCATAAGAGAAAGATAAGAAACAGATTTCTACCTAGAAAGCATGTATTTATTTCCAATGATTGAGACTTCAAAAGAAGAATGAAAATAAAATGCTCTGAATACAGAAGGGAGCAGAAAGTTAATTGCAGAAGACCGATGTTCCAAACTTTTCAAAAGCATTTCAGTTGCCACACTAGAGAGATCCCAAACCAAATTTGATGCAAATACTTTCAAACAGAACCCATCTGACACATTCAATTCAGAAGTCATTCCAACTGCATGTATCATTTCCAGTACAACCTCCAATATCTGAGCCAATACGTAACATGACATATGCAATGGAAAATGGTTTGGTTCAGATAGCAGTGTGATGTAATTCATTTCAGCCTTTTTAAGACTGCAAGAAGCATCTTGGGTAGATTGAATACCAGAGCAGATCCCACCTAAATTGTCAATATGTGAGTTCCATCTGTAAAAAGCCAACTCTTTACTTTGAAGCATACCCATTGATAGTCCAATTGATCTTAACAAAAAGCGCACGATGTTTAATCCAACCATTTCCCAAGCGTTCGTTGCAATGACTACTCTGAAAAAAGAATCGATAACCTACATGTCCGATGCATGAGAAAAATTGAGTAAAATATATAAGTGATAAATAACACGAATGGACAAGAATCATACTCCCTCCGTCCCGGAAAACATGGGAGTTTTGGTTTTGAAGAGGATTTAAGGGGAGTGTATTTTGGTATTGAATTTCCAAAAATGTCCTTTGATGTGATGGGTAAAAGTATGATTTGATGGATAGATTATTAGTAAAAAAGTATGATGTGATAGGTAGGGTATGAAAAAGTAAGGGGTAAAAATGACTTTTTAATAGAAATGAGAAGTATTTTTTGGGACGGATGAAAAAAGAAAGGAGAAAGGTTTTCAGGGACGGAGGTAGTATATTATAAATGTAAAGCGGTTTATGCACAGTACGCACGTCAAACTAGTTTATAAATGTACCTTATTTAACAGCTCATGGTCAAATGAATGAACCAATTTCATCAATGGCATAAAAACTTCCCAAACAAATAACTGCATGGAATTAATATCATGCCCTGCATTAAAACGCCTTTAAATTTAAACTACAAGGCAATTTCATGACTTAGAATGAAAAAAAATACTGGCACTTAACGACTTGAAAATGGTAAATTCATGTACCGCACAGCACATTCAAGGAAATTATGAAAACCAAAATGTGATAAAAAAAAATGGAATCATCAAATTTTATGTAGTCATTGAAGCAAAAAGTATCATAAATACATGTAATTTTGAATAACATACATGGCGGTTCTAATAACCAACTTCTTTGAAAGAGATAAATCATTAAGTCTAGTATACAAAGATTCAGATAATAAATCACGCTCCGTTCTGTTCAACTTATTTTTTCGGATCTGATCAGATTTTTTGTAGTTCTGTTCTAATCATATTGGATCTAATCTGATCTGATCTTATTGGATCTGATCTGATTGGATCTGATCTGATCTGATCTGGTCTAATTTGATTGGATCTGATTTGATCTTATTGAACCTGATTTGATCTGATTAAATCTTATCTGATTTGATTAATTATGATTTGATTTAAAATTCAAATCAATAATTTGATCTGACTTTTTAATAACTTTTGAAAATTGTAATAATAATTCATATTATAATATAATCAATATTTTTTATTTTATGATCAATTTTTAATGAAATAAAATTAGTTAATTCATATATTAGAATAATCATTCATATTATACTGTAATTATATAATGTAATAATATTTTTTCATTCATATTTTATAATGTAATAACTTTAGAAACTCAAATTACAAGTAGCAATAAAAATGTATTTTAAAAGTAGAATTAGATTGACATTGTCAATGAATTTTAAAAATAATTTTTACGACATCTAATAATTAAGGATTACTTTCTCATTTTTTTATTTAACTTGTTTCTAAAGTTTATTCTTTTTTCATTTTTAAGAAAAAAAGTGTGCTTCATATCATTTTATTTTTGTCTACATAAATTTTAATCGCACAAAAGTTTCATTTTCTTTCTTCTTATATTTTTTGAAGAGAAATTAAATTTATTTTTTGAAAGAATCGTATCAAGTGAAACAAGTAAAAAGTATAGAATTTAAAAAGTATGGAGTAATAACGATAATGATAATGATGATAATATTAATAATAATTCCTAATAATAATAATAATAATTCTTGATTGGATCTAATCTGACCTGATCTAGTCTGGTCTGATCTGATTTGATTTGATCTGATCTGATTAGATCTGATCTGATTATCTGATCTGATCTAATTTTAATAAGAATGAGAAAAAAGCAGAAAAAACAAGTTGAACGGAACGAGGCCTTAATACTTTATGGGCAAACACTTTAATAATCTGTAATTAACCAACCGCATATGGCGTGCAAGGCCAAGATATAGCCAGAAGCTTAAGAGTATAAAACGTGATGAAAAATAGTGCAACATAATTTAATATGTGAATCAAAATGCACACTATTAAATTAGATGAGCTATAAAAAGCATAAAATGCATCAGAACAATGATAAATAAGATAAGAAGTTTTTGTCTAAGAGCACATTTGGTAAGAAGGAAATTTTGACTACGAGAGATGAGACAGCTAAAACTTGGATTAAATTGGCTAAGTAGCGGAAAAACATTTCTAAAATTTGTTTTTAAAATATTTTTGAAATAAAGGAAAGATTAATGAGAAAAAACAAACTATTGTGGATCCTCTTTAAATAATCCCAACTAATCCCTTCGTGCCATATCCTAATATTAAAGTCTAAGATTATCTCTAATCCAATACACCAAACTCAAACTCAAAATGCAGTACAAACTAAAAATCCAGTAATTCATCTCCAACCTATTACTCCAAATTTAAACTCAAATTTAATATATTCATGTTTCCCTTTCCTTTTATGGTTTGTAATTAGTAAAAAATGCATTAAGCGATAAAATACATTTAAATAAATACATAAACTAAATAAAATAATTTATGCCACAGCAATAACAAAAGAAAAATAATAAAAGAAAAAAATGCAGTACTCCATTTTGAAACCCATATTTGGGTAGGGAGAGATGAGAGAGAGAGTAGAAAAACTCAAATTGCTACTTAATTTGGGATAGGATTGGAGGGAGAGGTGCTGCAAAATTGAGGAATTGCAGCACCATTGGAGATGCCTTATGTACTCTATTCACCCATCAAACATTTTCTATTTTTTTACTTACGTTCGTTAATCATTTGTTAAAATTACATAGTCATGTCAATTCTTTTTTTATATAACATTTGATGAAATTTTAAATATATAAATTTTATTTTAAAATTTTGTGACAAGCTTTGTTAACCGCAATGGGACTTTAGTATTGGGGCAGAGTGAGTACTAGTTGTTTGAGAATAATCCCACTTATGAACCTAATTCAGCGTGGACAGGCAAACAAATGAGTGTTTGGTGGAAAACTTGGTTGATAAGCAGGATAACTGCTCTACTTCTTGTGCACCAAAAAAGAACTAAGAAACATAACTCACCCAATTTCATCAAAAGATGGCAAAGTGCACCAACAAATGATTCGATATAATTATGTTGTTCAAGCCCCAAGTTCTGCTCAGCCGGTATTTGTTCCTGCAAAAACTCAATCCATAATGGTTTCTACTTACTTAATCAAAAGTCAGAGAAAATATAGCGCATATTCTCATCAAATATCAGCACTCAATTGATCAAGTAAAATATACAGAGAAGCACGTGAGATAATTCAAATTTATTACTAGGACAGAAAATATATGGAACAAGTCATTTGCTTTATTTGGGCCTGTGAACAAGACTAATCAATGGCTACCACGTCAAGTCACTTGCTCACTTTGGAGCAAGTGACTTGCTCCATGTAGTTTTGGCCTGGAACCTAAACTCAGGGTCTGCTTTTGAGCAAGTGACTTGCTCCATATCTTTTTTTTACTACCAGGCACCTAAATTCTAAGTTCATTTTTTGAAGGTTGTACCACTAGCAACCACTTCTCAAGCCAAACTATTACTTTCATTAAAATAATCCTCATCTATAGTAAAAACACTAAAGTATCAGCACTTCATTGTTTTTCACAAAAGTTGTTCAATTTCTGGTTGTTTTCTCATTTGCATTCCAGATAGCAATACTCATGAGTTCTACTCGAGCTAAAACATCAATAACTCAGAATTTTTAAGTACCATAGGTACACATTCCTAAGTACTTCTCTTTATACCAAACAGACATAGGGGGGGATAAGTTAAGGTGGTACCATGGAAATGCGAGAGAACTCTTCAAGAAGAGCAGTAAAAATCGAAGAGGGGGATAATGCTGTGGAAGCCAATACACAATCCAGCATGGGAGGAATAGCTGCCGGAGGGACCTGCCGGAAACTGGGCAGCAGTGCTGAGACGATTGGATCCATCGATTGATTGATCTGGTATAGGGATGAGGAAAGATGAGCTGTTAAGTGTTAACTGCAGCACGGTAAAACAATCAACTTGGATAAACCCTAACAGGGGTTTTGGACAAGGATTGCCATTTGAGGGGGGGTTTGGCTCGGTGTCAGTATTTTGATATGGTTAACTGAAATTAAATATTGAATTTTTAATATAAGCAATGCTAGGGGTACATCCCATTTGTCCCTCACCCCCTTCTTCACCATTCATTTTTATCTACTTTTTATTTATTTAATTTTTTTTAAAGTTCTTGCCCATTTATGTGGTGGAGGAGGGGGTGGGGGACAAATGGGGTACCCCTAGCATTTTTCTTTTAATATATATAAAGACTAGGAAAAAATCCTCCTATATACAATGCTAGGGGGTGCCTTCAATCCAAACTCTACAGGATTTTTTTGGATTTTAAAAGTCAGTGGGTATTCATTTGGGATTTTAAAAAATCATTTAAAATTTAGAGGTATTCAATTGAGATTTTAAAAAGTCTTTCTAAATCTAATAATGATATTTGATGGTGTAAATATAGCGGGGTGAGTTAACCGGGTTTGACCTGGACACACTCGACCCGTAATATAAAACACACAACAAGAACACAAAGTATGACCTAGACCGGGTAAATCTCCTCAGTCCGAATTATATTTCTTACTCTATCTCAAGAGTGAACTTTAGTGAGAGAAAAATTGGATCCCCTCCTCTATCCAATATCATCATATTTATAGAGAAGGATTTGTGACCTTCCCCTGTTCATCCATGGACAAAATAGGAAACCCGGAGGAAGGTCACTCTACATAATCAATCTACTATTCAATCAATGAATTTAGCAACTATAAGCCAAGACATGTACTGTTCAATCAAAGACTATAAATGGATATTCTCAATCCAATCAGCCCTGCAAAATGACAAACATTCCTTTCACTGTTTGCCTCGTGATGGACGAACGGCTGGGTGATCCCTCGATCTCATACGTGGTTCACCATGCCTGAGATACTGGACCAATGTTTGCAAAGTAAAG